ATGTGTCTGAGAGTAAATGATACATTGGTCAATTATGAAACCAGCCTATTTCATAATCTGGTTTTCTTTTAATATTAATTTTAGATTTTCTATAAAATAATATTCCAGGACCCAAAAGGTTATATAGCATAAATATGTGAAGTACACCTGCAGCATGGAAACAGTACAACAAAATGGCCGTTTTATACTTTTTTTCTAGTAAATTCCCTTCTAATTATATTCTATTCTCTATGTTTAGTACCTGGGTTTAGAAGAGATTATACAAGAATTATATCTGTTGTTGCTTCAAACTTATATTCTCACTCAGTATATATATAATCATGAATGTAGATAATATTTTATAATATTTTCTACTTTATTAAAGTAACAAGAATGAGACTTTTATGAGATGATTTCGTTCTATTTACACACTTTTTCAAATTTATGTTTTGGTGCTGCAGCTGCACTATTGAGTACAGAGGTTTTAACAAAACATGAGACTGTAAAGATAACATTTGAAACTCTTATGAAATGACAATCTCTAGGTTATATAAAATTTTGCCTTTAATTTATCTTTTATTCCGTACAATCGTCTCTGAATTGTCTCATGTTTCTGGGTTACCCTGTTTACACTTCTTGTAATTTGTTTTATTTTATCAGCCAATTATAGTTTTGTGTTAAAGAGTGGTTTAACATTTTCTTTTAATCTCGAAATAATTTTTTTTAATAAGAATTTGAGAAACTTTTAAGAACAAAGTGCATCAGTACAAATTAGAAATCAATTCAATTCAACTTTATAAATGTTTAAGGCTTTTATAGTAACAATTATAGCTTTAAACTGTTGATTTTCAAGCTGACATAGTAAAATTAACATATTTGTTGTTCTTAAAATTGATGTTTTCCAAAATATTTAAACATTAACATATTTTTCAGCCGGATTGCCGTTTATTGGACACATGCAACTTTCAAAACAAACAGTCATGCAAAATATGAATCGATCATTATTTTTCAAAAAATGCTTTTTTTTATGAAAGAGAGACAATTTAACTCTCTTCACTATAAAACCCAAATGCAAAATATATACTAGTTTTTGCTTCATGGGCCGGTATGAAGTTTGCAGAGCATATACAAGACGTTGCTGTGATATTACATTCATTTAGAGAGAAATGGATGCTGGAGACTGCAACTCCAGCTCTACATAGGATAACCAACAATAATTCAGGTAAACATATGGTCTATCACGTGTTTGATGAAGATCAGAACCAATACCATCTATCTATAATATATCGATCTTATCATTCAATTAGAGATGAATAATGGAATCAATGCGCAAACAAGGGTGGACAAACTTTTTTCTTCAGTTTTTCAGGGATTTTTGGTTCTCAAGAGTATCCAAATAAAATGCAAGAAATTTTCTACATTCTGGGCTTTTTTACATTAAGCTAAATGTTGACATCTTAACTCTGTAATGTTAATCATTACCAAACTATTTTGCGTCTGCAATGCCACTTGAGAGAATAGACTTTTAAATTGTTACAAACTTCGCAGATTTTTGTGGAGTCACCTAAAAGCCATAAACTTTTGAATGTTTGATTAAACGGATCAAACAGAGTCCTTAACACTAGGTTAGGAGCACTGCAGACTAGATATACACAGAATGTTCATAAGCTCTCAATGGCTAGGTTAAGTTGTACTGGTTTTAGGAAAACGCATAAAATTTATTAGTCTATTCTTGAAACCAGTTCTCTCTGGGCAGTGGGCGGAATTGGTAAACAAGATGCAGCAGTGTTCATTTAGTGTCCGAGGAGGTTAAAAACATTAAATTTTGATAATTTTGATAATTCTCAAAATAGTTTCCAATGACCAGAATATTTCATTGATTTTTTATGTTAAAGATGGATCCCATGTCAGGCTTCGACATCCGTCTTGTGTTTACATTACCGTCCAGATACAGTAAACTGCAGTACAAAAGATGCTTACACCACTAAAATAATTTTCCTAGCATTATAACCTTGGGTTTTACCAATGAGCGTGGAAGTAAATGGGGGGGGGATGTATTAGGACTGCTTAGAAACTGGTTTTATCGGTAATAGATATACTAAGTGAAAAATTACACACACCTTGTTTCTTTTGCTTAATTTCTGTTTGGATGTTCTTTCAATAATTGTTTTTAATTGTTTTTAATTTTATTTAATTAATTTAATTGTTTTTAATTTTATATGTCAACCCGGTGTACTTATATGGGTTCCGTCAAAAACAATTTAGCCAATTTAGAAAAAAAGGTAAATGAATTTGGTTGATTACCAGATTTGTAATTATGAACTTGACACTATTACTATTAAAATTATTAAACTTAAAATATATCTGATTCTAACCTCACAGCGGAAACCTCAATTACCACCCCTCTCCTCTGTACTGCCTAATGACACCCTTGTACATGTAGCTTTTCTAAATAATCATATTTCTTTAATTTTTTAAGGTTTCACCCCTCCCCCCTTACCAAAAAAATCGCCCCCCACGTGCTCTAACCCCCAGAACTATTTTACTCTTCACCCCTGTACCCTATTATATTGTCTATAAACTGTCAAGTAGAATAAACTGTAATTACTATTATTGGACATATCTTAATTAGGTTGGGTGAATTAAACCTTCCGGAGCATGAACTTAGATTACAGAATATATATACCCTCAATTCTTTAATAACAGGGTTATAAATAATATTTAACAAAAATACAATACAGGGTGTGTACTAAAAATGCTAACTTCAAATTATAAGTCAAGAATTATCTGTCGTCTTTCATAAAATATTCTTTTTCCTGTTATTTCAAAAGGAGGTCTGCCTATTTTTGTTTAAAGTTAACAGAGATATAATTAAATCAAATATCTTAGTCAGTTTTTAAAGATCAGAATCAGAAGAGTCCGAATTTGATGAATTTGAGGTGTGTCTCAAATCCGCCAAAAACCGGTTTCAATTGAGCGCCGGCTTAAATTTTGAAACATTTGTTGCATAAAACGTGCTGGGTCGAGTCAGTACCTGGCAGACCAGTCTGGACAGTACGAGTAAATGCAAGTACAGTACATGTTGTACCGGCTCAGATTACGGAATTTTTAGAATGATATGATATTCACTATACAAGTAATTGCTGCAGGGTATAACAACCACGGTATATCGAAGAAGATTAATCCGTGCCCCGTATATCTGCATAATATGTTGATTGAAGATCAATTCCCAAGATGCACAACAACAAATTCTGTTTTAAAAAGAACGTTTTAAATGATGTTTCTTTTTCAATTGTTTAATAATAATAATTAGATAAATAATAGCAAACTTTAATAGAATCAATAATGTAATGCAAGGAAAGTTAATTGCGGTCGTGTATACTCTGCGTACACAATGAAACCAGTTCTCTCTGGGCGGAATTTGTAAACAAGAATATCAGCGTTCGTTTAGTATCCGAGGAAGTTAAAAGCATTAAATTTGATAATTTTGATAATTAGTTTCCTATGACTAGAATATTTCATTGATTTTTATGCGAAAGATGAATCCCATGTCAGGCTGTGACACCCGTCTTGTGTTTTCATTACCGCCCAGAGACAGTACACTGCAGTACACAAGATGGGTACACTTCTGAAATAACTTTCTTTGCATTATATCCTTGAATAGAATACTGTTTTAAAATGTTGGAAGTCTTATTAAAAGTTAAAGAAAAAATTGTCCAAAGCTTGGTTCATTAGAGAAAACAATTCTGCGATATTTTTACTGTTTTTATTGTTGAAAAATCCCATCCTTGATTTATGGAAAAGTAGAATAAATTAATTATTTATATTTTTTAAGATGATTTGGTGATTAATCTGCACTGGGATGTTGGGGACATGAGAGGCTCTGAGCTAACCAACATTATTATTCAGCATTACCCGGTAAATACTTCCTTATAGCTTGATCTTACCTCAGGTCAGAACTTTTGAGTGAATGGCTTTAATCTTCATCGCTTGATCTCCATACCCTCATTGGTAACTTTTAAATCAAAGGGATTAGAGCTTGATCCTTTAAGATTAGCTTCCGGCTATTCAAGGTTAATTAATTTAATACTTTGAACGACTAAAAAATGGATTACTGCTTGATCCATGGATTAGCTGATGTTAATAAAAGAGTGTTTACTTCTATCTAATTCATGCATGGTTAAATTCTGTTGAACTTTCTTTTCTTTCTCAAAATATGAAAACCCGGGAGCAATGATTAAAGATATTTGAAAGGGCTGTCCACATAATTTTAACTGGCATTCTATTTGAAGATTCACTTCGGAACCATTTAAACCTTTTTCTGCAAAAAATGTTAAAATATCCTCGTACTCATTTACTCATTTACTCATTTACTCATTTACTCATTTACTCATTTACTCATTTACTCATTTACATATTTACAATCATGATTTCTCTATGAAATTGTCTTGCAGATATTATATGCAGCAGAGATAAAGAACGTAATTTACAGAATTCAGCACATTTTAAGATTAAAAAACGACGATATCTTCCCCATCGATTGATCAGTTAAAGATGTATGTATCGTTGTGAATCTATAACTGGAGGGTCACTTTAAAATACGCCAACAGTCCCTTTTATTTATTACTAGGTTGCCCTACAGTACCTTAATTTATTACCAGGTTGCCCTACAGTCCCTTTAATTTATTACTAGGTTGCCCTACAGTCCCTTTAATTTATTACCAGGTTGCCCTACAGTCCCTTTAATTTATTACTAGGTTGCCCTACAGTCCATTTAATTTATTACTAGGTTGCCCTACAGTCCTTGAATTTATTACTAGGTTGCCCTGGACAATGGAAGATGGGTTAGAGAACAAAACATTACAACTGTTATTCTTTCTCGTGACAGCATCAACAACAATTACAACAACAACAACAACAACAACAACAACAACAACAACAACAACAACAACAACAACAACAACAACAACAACAACAACAACAACAATAAAAACAGCAACAACAACAACAACAACAACAACACAAATAAAAACAACAACAACCACAACAACAACAGCAACAACAACAACAACAACAATAATGGTGAAAATAGAAACAACCATAAGAACAACATTGATCTGGAGAGTGAAACCAACAATATTATTGATTTCAACCAAGAAACATTCTACATGAATGAAAACAGCAACAACAACAGAGAAAGGAAGACTATAGATGATACACCGGAAAAGAATGATTTTACTATAAGTGACCTGAATCCTCTGAAAAGTCCAGACAAAGAGACAAATGAGGAACTCAGCCTTTTCTCATCAAGGCAATTAAAACTGATTGAAAAAATGAGTTACCCATTTTTTGTTTTTTTTTCTTTTTCATTTTTATTATCTTTTTGAAAAAATCAGGCCATTTTCACCTTTAACACTTTTCTGTTCAAGAAAATTTCCATTTTTTCAGGAATCTAAGCTTTTCGAAGAAACCATGATAAATGTAACTTTATTTATCCCTTTCTCGAACTTTTCCACATTTATTCATTCTTCAAAATGTTTGAAAATAATTTTACTGCCCTGCAGGTTCTAAAAGGTATTAAATGGGAATCTGTGGTTTCCAGGAGGAAAAGAATAAATTATTCTGAACATGAATCAAATAAATATTTTTTGCATCCTGATATTAGTACTTTGAAAATATCTGTACTTTTTTCGTAACATAGAACTAAAGTAAACATTTTTCCGGCCCTTTACTTGCCTATATTTTATAAGATCAGTTTGAATTGGTTTAGTTTGACTAGTTACACTGTAGATTATGAACCAGACTTTACTCATCTATATGTTAGTATTCAGGTAAATATATATACAGTCAAACTCTGAAATAAGAAGACATTTGGTCGAATTTTTTAAATGTCGGATTTAAAGATTTTTCCGTTTTTTTGCCACTGAAGGATATTATACATAAATTAGCGCCCAACTATTTCAAGGATATCATTTATCTTTACTAAAAAACAAATTCAGAAAGTTTACATTCACTTTAAAAACTTTGACTTTTAACACAACAATTTTATTTTGTTATTGTAAATTGCACATATCCCTGTTAAGCTGTGAGCCGAAAACTTTTGAGTTTTTTTTTAAGATTTATCTAAATTTGAAGTCCATCATTATAAAATCTTTATCTTTAGCTATATTCATGCATAGAAACTCTAATTTTCTAAACCTTATGTATTTGCAACCTGATAACCTGATGTTGTAGACTTTTGATGATTGCTGCTAAATATGGAAACTTCTCTAAATTATTAATAATGTCCAAGGTCTATGGCAAAAAACTGCAAAAATGAGTAGAGTGTTTAGTTCTGAAAAGTTGTTAGATTTGAGAATTCATATTTTCAACGAAATAGAAATTAAAGAATTAAAGTGATACATAAAAAAGCTGGAATGATATATACTTTGGAGAAAAAAACTCAGCGGGAGCGGTTGAACCAGCGGTTGAGATCTAGCCTAGACTCTACGCAGTTCAGAATAAGAAATTAAGAAGAAATTTACAATTTGCTCACTAAATCGCACTTTTTCAACAAATGAAATCTAATTTTTCATCAATAACGTTTTCAGCTTACCGCCCCCCCCAGCCTGTTTAGGGTTAAAGCTTTCGTAAAGATATTTTTATCAAAAAATTTTTTTTCTAGGTCGAAAATGGTTTAGGGATATCTGATAGAGAGGAAGTAATATTCGTGCTGGGTAATGGTAAGTTTCAGAGAACGTATTTTTTTAGGAACACTTTTAATTCTGAGAATGCCATGAACAATTATTATAACATGGCTAAGCTCCAAATGTTGATCAAATTTTTTATTGATTTTAATTGGTTTTATATCGTTTGAACTGAAAAGGGTCCAGAATTTTATCAATGTTTTTTTTCTTTAAAATTAGATAAAGGCTTTTTCTACACAATCAATTTTAAGATTGAAAAAAATGCAATGTGAAATTTATCCATTTAAGTTAAGAAAGGTAAAATTTTCACTTATTTATCTTTAAACTATATTTCCCCCCCCCTTTCCTGAACATTTTTTTCTGAAAAATAAAGGCATGTCGCGAAAAAGCTTTAGTCTAAATGCATTGCCCCAGCTACAACCAAAATGCATTATTTTAAAATTCATACCATTCTTCTATAAATCATTCACAGATTAAAACTAAAACTAGAAATTGTTTGTGTTTTTACTCTGAAAACTATTTTGTCCTGCATAGAGTGAAACCCTTAATAACGAATACATCGGAAGAATTTATCAAATGTCGTCTTGACAATTTTTTAGTGAGTTTTATACTATATTACGTAAATTTCAGTATTTGCTAAAATAAATAAATAGCCATGAATATGCGGGAACAGTTTTAAAGAGTTCCATATTATCATTTAATTAAAAAAACTAAATTTCTGCAACATTCCATTATCAGAAAGTGAAGAATACGACATTTGATGAATTCTTTCGATGTATTCGTTATTAAGGGTTTCACTGTAGCTGCCACCATTCTGAAAATACCGCTAATGGAGCTAATAAACATGAGAATCAAATGACAACTTCTATATCGTCTTTGTTCCATGATGGCTTGTTTCGTAAACGTATTTTTTATTTTCACAATTAAAACATTTAACACCGAAAAGTACTCTTCTCTGAATTTCCAAAATGAGGTATTCTGCATCAGAATACCAATTGTGAGTTTTAGAGCAAATCATTTATAAGTTTAAACATTTTTTAAATATGCAATTGTACTACTCTTAAAACAGGTAGAATTGAAAATATTTTTTAAATATTAATTTGCCGTTCTGGTAATATTTAATTTAGATTTTTCAAGTTATAGGTTCGGCTGAATGTTTCAGTTAAAAAAAAAATAATTCTTTATAAATATAAGGTTTTTAACTTCTAATACACCCATATTTTGATTTTCCATAACAGTGAGGCCCAGAAAACTGGAAGAGAATGTTGTCATAGTTTTCCGTTTTCTTATGACATTGAAGTTTAATTGTTGCACCATAACAATTTTAAAAAATGTCCAAAAACCTCTTTTTGAAATATAGTTAAGTTTTAAATTACTTGCTGACATTTCAAGATTAAATGAAAAGGACAAGAATTCCATATTTTTCTGCATCCCACTGTATGTATGTATGTGATAATTTAGGTACCAGCAAACCAGTGCCTGAACCATCAGTAGATATAGTTGCACAAACATCAGGTTTGTAAACAAAACAGACGGAAAACGACATTAAATTTTAATTCAGATAAAATTCAAAATCCAGATTTTGAAATCTTTTGAATTAATACTTACTTATCCTATTTATAAATTCTGTTTCAAAAAGCATTCAAATCTTCTGTATAACCATGATAATCCTACTGAATCCTTATATGTATCCAGGGTTACCCACAAAGGATGAGACTTCAGAGACGACTGTACAGAATTTACATTGTCTATTTCCTTATACTTATGATTCCCAGCAACTGAAAACTTGTTTCTTTCTTTGTCTAATCATTAAATGAGCAATAAATCGAGCAGATTCTTGTCAGAAAACTTAAATGAACCTTGGAATTATCAAATTTTTTAAGCTTCAGGTCGTCTTCACAGTCTCCTCCTTCGTGGGTAGCGCGGTTGATCCAATGTGTTAACAAATTGAATTCCTTTGTATATCTATGATAATCCTACTTAATCCTTTTATTTATAGATCCTGTGTCAATAAATATTCTACTCCTCTGTACAGGGTGTCCCAAAAACATGGGAATTCAGTGACGAATTCGATATCGTCTTTGATATAAATTAGCACTGTAATACCTAATTTCAAAAGCCATAACATTATTATGTCTGCTAGAGTTTATTTTATGAAAAGGGTAAAAGACTGTAAAGATGTGTCTATAACGTCTCCATAAGATGAACAGAGAAGACGGACAAGTTTACTCTGTTTGTATTCTGCAATTTTCTTGATTTACTAAGTACAACCGTATGCAGTCAAAACATAAACAAACAAAATGTAAACATAACAGACGAAACTCTTACAGATTGCAGCTTTCTAAGTAGGTATCACTACAATAAATCAAAGAATTATTTAAAAAGACGATATCGAATTCGTCACTGAATTCCCATGTTCATTGGGACACCCTGTATATCTTTGATAATCTATGTCATAGATCCTGTGTCAATAAACCTTCTAATCCTCTGTATATCAATGATAATCCTTCCTAATCCTTACATTTATAGATTCTGTGTCAATAAACATTCTAATCCTCTGTTTATCAATGATAATCCTACTTAATCCTTATATTTATAGATCCTGTGTCAATTCTGTCAATAAACCTTCTAATCCTCTGTATATCAATGATAATCCTACCTAATCCTTATATTTATAGATCCTGTGTCAATAAACCTTCTAATCCTCTGTATATCAATGATAATTCTACCTAATCCTTATATTTATAGATCCTGTGTCAATAAACCTTCTAATCCTCTGTATATCAATGATAATCCTACTTGCTGTGATAGTAGATCTTCTTTGTCTCATCTTAATACGAAAAGGTTAGTTTTATAAACCCTTAAAACATGTGCTTAACTTAGCACATGGCATTTTCAGATTTGTGTTTGATTTGAAATTATCATTTAGCTGATTTTAAATCTTTAACCCGAATAAAACCCAGCTGTAGCGGAGTTAAGTACAACTTTTTAAGGTCTACTTATTTTTGAAAATTTTTGATACCTAACTTCAGAAGATTGTGCATTTTGAAAGTTGTAAAGATAATACGTATTTCTTTAACAAATACAATAAGAATCAGAAAACTAAGCGATCTAATAAGTTCCTAGTAAAACTATTTCCTTTGTAACATTATTAGTAACACTTGCTCTAGTTTCCTCTTAATATTATACAGTTTTCTGGTTATCAAAGTTTGTTCGAAAAAATCGTTTATTTTCAAGTAAATACAGATTAATGATTTAGAAATTGTTCATTAACAGTCTGATTAATCCATCGTTCATGAAACATTTTGTTAGTTCACAAAAAAACGATGATAACCATCTCTACTGTGATTCACCTTTTGATGCAAAAATTGATCTGTATTTTTCATTTAACAAAAAGAAGAAGGGTGCTTCGGCTTAAAAAAAAATACATGTCTTTAAGGTGACCGACAAGTCGTTGACGCACAGTAAATGTATCCTTGACTAATCAGGGCGAGATACGTTAGTTGTCTTCCATTTGATCGAATTCGATGTCGTTCATTTTTATTCATATGCTGACAAAAAAGTATGAAAATATAAATGTAAGAAAATATGTCTAGTCTGGATCGTTGTGTTGTGACTCAAATATTTACTTTTGCTTTTAAGGATGCATATATACGTTTCTCACAAAAACAAAGTTGTGCAGAAAGCTGGTTGGGAAAAACAAGAAGTAAGTTAAATAATAATAATAAAAATAATAAATAGGAGGTGTCGAGGCGGATCTCGTAGAGGCAGATATTTTCAGAAAGATTCTAAGGACTTTGTATGACTATAAAATTCTAACATCTGCTGAACATCAAAACTCATGAGAATTCGGTGACTAGACAACATACAAAAATTAGTCAAAATGTACATCTTCACTGACTGAAACCTTTTGGGTTGGGCGCTAAATATCTATAAATAGTGTGAGTTAAAAAACATGAAACTGAAAAATTTAAGTCGTGTTCTTAAACCTAGAAAAATACTAAAATTTTAGACGTTAAAACTATACGCTTACTCCAATAAATCCTCGCTGGTTTATACAATTCAACGACTAGTCTTATGTTTTATAAATCTCACTGGATCATTTGAAATGCGATAATACATCATCTGCGAAAATTAACCTCTTTTGGCCTGAATCTATGTAAGAAAGTCTCAGGAAATAAGGTTCTATAAAAAAATAACCTGGAAATAATAACTTTCGTTAAAAAGTCCCAATTTTCTGAAGTCCTAGGACAGATTGATTCTGGAAATAAAGTCCTAAGTTTTAGATTTCCGGGACTTTTTTTCCTAAAATAATATGGGGTCTACCAATAAAGTCTCAGGAAATAAATCACATGAAAGTCGGAAGTCTTGGTAAATGAGGTCAATTCTTAGACGTTTACATAAAAAGGACTTTTCCTCAATGGATCTGTATATTAAATATAGCCATGGTTGTAAACATTCTTTGTTCCATTTTCCACTATACGAGAACTTTTTTCTGGGGACTTTTTTGTATAAAATCATACTGGAGCCAGAAAAAAACACCTATTTCCACAGGTCTTTTATAGTGCCAAAATTTAGGACTTTATTTCTATAAAAAAAGTTTCAGAAAACCTAAATGACCTTTACAAAACTTGTTTTTGGTTTATTTTTTTATGTATCGTCAATTAATTGGCCTAAACTTTAAGACAGAGTATTAATTGGAAACCTGAGTTTTGAAGATCGGAATACCTTACAAGGAAGCAGGCACCTCTATAACTGTGTTTCCACAGAATTGTACTGCATATTGTGTATCTACATTCCTTCCACAAATTGCAGTATACAGTGAGAACCAAAAAACTCTAGAATTGGAAGTCGACTGAAGTCATGACTTAAAATATTCCAATGAACATGAGGCACAGTAATTATTATGCAGTGTAAACAGACCCATTTCACCTAATGATTGATTAAATAACGAGTAAAGCTATTTGCTTTGTGTAACATCATCAATTTCACTTCAGTATTGCTTTAATGTCGTCTTTCTATTTTACAGTTTTGAGGTTATCACTGTACTTGTCAGTTTTTAATAAAAACAAAGATTTTTTATGGATTTATATTTTCATTTATCACTCTTTAGGCCCTGCTCGTGTGTTTTATGTATTTTTATGTTCACTCTGAAGTACACTGCAGTACATTGAAATCAAATTGTTAAAATTAATGTGAGGCTATTAGAACTTCTCAAAACGTGCTGGATTACGTCTTGTCAATTTCTAAGCTTCAATATGGTCTGACCACTGAATCCTTTTTAAATTTTGAGTAAAAATATTATGAAGAAGTAGTTAAACCAGTTCTGTCTATCTAAACCAACTCTGACTCTGTATAGATCATAAATTTTGACCTCGTAAATATTTCCCATGCTGTTCCTATTTTTCAGATAAACTTCGAAACAATTAAAAATAAAATGAAAAAAACTTATTCTGAGAAACCGAAATTTTTACAAATATTAATATTTATGTTACGGATTGTTTCTTGTTATATGTCCTATTCTCGGTGTTATATCAAAATAAGATTTTAGGATGTTTACACTGTTTTTATATTATACTAGCTATTTTTGAGAAAGAAAAAAATATTTTTTTTGCCTATAACAGCCCCCCCGGAAACCCATGAGTGACCACAAAAAATGTCCGCCCAATCGGTCCAGCCGTTAGGCCGGCTATAGGCAACATATTTATATACGAATGTCTTGTTTCATTATAGATTAATATATTAACTTTTTCTAGCCATTTCGTTAACGGTTAGTTCCAACCGTTAAATAATAAAATTTCTGGTAGCCGTTAATTTTGAAGGTAAGAACAACCACTGATTTAAATATTAACGATTTTTGCCGTTCGCTTACGGACTTTTTCGTTGATTTTCGAAACCTCCGTTCCTATAACAGAACTTTGCCCAGCCCTTAGATTACCACATACCAAACTTTACATGTCAATGTTTATTATTGTAAATTTCTGTAAATTGTAAATAATTTCTAATCTTGTAAATTAAATGTCTCTGGTTTCGTTAAAACCTAAAAACATTTTTGTAAATAAACGACAAAATTTAATGTTTTTGAGAATAACCGGCAACTCTTCATTTATCCTTATCTAAAAAATCAAATTTGAATATTGTTCTTTCCAAAATCTGCCAAAATTTGAGGATAATTTATTAGTAACAATTATGAACTTTGCTAAAAAAATTCAACTTTTATTATTCACCATTTGCATTAAGGTTATATATCTATATATATTTATGTATAAATATGTACAATTTACAGTACAATAATGTTCTTCAGCTTTGTACCCACTGCAGTAAGCCAAAATGTAACAGTGAAATTGTTATTCCGAAGGCTTAAAAGATCAAAATCGGAATTTTTAAGACGACATTTGAAACGTTCCTGAAAATTTTTAAAAAATTAGATAAAGTAAAAGAATTCTTGTAAAATAGATTCGTTTATTGAATCAAAATCTTGAATGCGGTTAAACAATGGAAATTAGGATTTTAATCAATCAAAACTTTATGAAAAAGTTTAAAATTCTAAATTGTTTCTCTAATCAATCTATTTATAGGATTGCTCGTGAAAATTTAACAAACCCCCCTTGTATATTTGTATATTTGTAATATGTACCTAAATGTAAAAAAATTAAATTCTTAAATTCAGTTATATCAATATTTTTGTGAATTTACAGTTTTACCCACAGGGTGTCCCATGGAACATGACAGTTGGTAAATAGTAATGAATGTCGTTTTATAAAAGGCTTTTTTTTGCAGTTTATTTTATTAAAAAATCTTTTGCTTAAATATACTTTACTTTTAAATCAATTTTACTAATACATGACTTCCATAAAATATTCTTATTATTGCCTTTTTGGTACTAAACGACTTAACAAATTATGGAAAAAGACATTCAAAACTATTCACCAACCATCATGTTTCGTGGGACACCCTGTATCATCCTTTGTGCAGGTAAACCTATATCTCCTGTTTTGAATATGAATTGCACAAACATAATATAATTTGTTAAATGTCTATTTGTACAAATAACTGTGAACTGTAATCATGTGCATTTACAATATTTTAAATAAATTAATGATTTATTTAATTTTAAAAGTTTTATTAAAATTTGGATGAATTTATAGATAAAAAGTGTCATAAAAAGACGCAGGATTGGTGTTTGGTTGAACCAAGGTACTAACGCAAGGAAAATTATTTCAGAGGTGTACGCATTTTTTTGTACTGCAGTGTACTGTCTTCGGGCGGAATGGTAAACACAAGACGGATGTCACAGCCTGACATGGAATCCAATTTCACAAAAATAATTTATGAAATATTCTGGTCATAGGAAATTATTATGTGAATTTTTAAAATTGTCAAAATTAATTGATTTTAACCTCCTCGGATACTATACGAACACTGATGCATCTTTCCTTGTGTACAAAGTCTGCCCAGAGAGAACTGGTTTCAATATGTACGCAGAGTATACGCGACCGTAATTAACTTTCCTTGCATTATAACCTTGGGTTGAACGGTTAAACATTCATCTAAACCCATAAAACTAGGGAAGATGAAGACGACTTTTAGACTAAAGGGATGATTTCAATTGTCTAATCAACATTTAACACAACAACAGTACAACTTGTACACAGATCTGTTTCTACTAAAGTGGTAAGCGATTATATCAATACAATGAAGACGACTTTCGAATTCAATTTTGATTTAAATTAAGCTGTTAAACAGCTTTGATACACAAAAACATTAAGTCGAGAGAATTTATCAATGAAAAAAACCTTCTCTGTGATTATTTGTAAACTTTTAAATCGAAAAAAGCTTGTTAACAATTAAAACTTAAATAAAAAATTCGTCTTCATTGTAGTGATATAATCGCTTACCACCGTATTCTACAAAATAATTGCCTGTATACAATCATTAAGTTTTTTTCAGTCTGTAAATACAATTCGAATAAGGTTTATATTTTTTATACACAAGTCGAATTTTCAGATTGTAATGCTTAAACATTTCCTATTTTTGCTTCTTCTCTGTTCTTAAATAAACGGCAACAATTGAGGTTTAAAAATAATGTTTAGAAATGTCGTCTTGCAAATTGTTTTATCTGAGCAAATGGTTTCCTAACTAACTTAATTAAAAACGCAAATAAGTCATAAATTATATTTTCACAGTCAGAACACAATATCACATTTAACAACTGTTTTCATAAGACTTTAAGTTTTAATATAGGATAAAAGAAATCAGGAAATGGGTCTTTTATCAGCAGAATGAAGTTAAGCGGTATATCATTGAGAACTGTAATGAGCTAGTATATGAGAAATTACAGAATACCATCTCCAGTAGGATCATTAATCCAAGGATAATGATTGGGACAACGAACACATGTATGCATAATAAGAGCCTCCCCGGGAAGATCCTTGGTAGACAACTTACACCCGTTGGCAATGCATGGAGCAACTCTTTCGGGCTGGCACTTCTCCTGCCAGGGTGCATAGGATTCTATTTTGTCTACAGTTACAGGGGTCTGGATCCATTGGATAACCTGGGTCATTGTTACAAAGTAGGCATCCTTGTGGTTCTCAATAATCTCATCAATCCAGTAGAGGAAAGCATCAAGGAATTCAGGGTTATTTTTGAGCCAGGCAGCATGGTAGAAGAGTCCAAGAGGGGCTCTGTTCTGGTCGTAGTGACGGTAGAAGTTATGCGTAAGAAAGTTGTAGAATTGATCCCCAGTTAGAATTGTACCGCAGGAGTCAATCATGGCACATCCAGCAATGTCTTCGTCATAAGAAGGATCTTCTCTTCTGTCAAGTTCATTCATAACCATCTCCCAAACTGCATGAGATCTGGTGGGACAGTTCTGAAGATTACCATGACATCTGTGAGGCATCTTGAAATACATAGTGTAGGGCCAGAGAGGAGGGTTCTGAAGAGCTGCAGTTATAGAAGAATCATATAGAAAAGCCTGTTCTTCCATCATAGTGAATTGGTGGTTTCCACCAACCCTGAGATAAGGTGCTCTCAAACCAACAATGGAGTTATCTGTGATGTTGGAAAACTTCTCAATGATAAGTCTGGACCCAGCCATTTCTTTGGCCCAATCATCAACAGTTGCATCAGTCCAAAAATCTTCATCATCTTTATGTGTGACGGAATGGGATGCAATCTCATGTCCAAGTCTGTGCATTTCCTGTACTGCAGAGTAATTACTGTACTTATGGGACACAAAGAAGGTTGCCTTAATGTCACATCCATTAGGATTTTTGCGTTGTTTATTAAACATCTCATTGTAAAGATCAATGTTGTTGTTATTAATAGCATCATCAAAGGTGATAGTGATCATTTGTGGTACGTTAGTACATTTATCATTCTCAGGACAAAGTTCCCCCGGAACTTCTGTTCCGTCCTCAGAACAGAAGCAGTCAGGGAGCTTACAAATACTCTTGTCACAGGGTGGAGCTCTGTTGGGGTCGGATTCAATGTCTAAATGAGGAAAAGGATTAATGAGGATTCTAAGATTGGATACAGGATAATTAGGAAATTTGGGTATTTCATGCGCATATAATCAACCTTTTTCACAAGTTGGATAGGAAAGTGAAGGAAATATCAAAATAAGAGGAAAGTGATAAAATTATCAAATAAAATAAAATGTGCATCCTCTTACATGCCTGAAATCATTGAAGATACATATACATTTTTTAATAGAGAACTAGAAGACTAAATAAAAACAGAAGCTGAGATAAATATCAACAATCAACATGCATGAACTCCACTATTTCCAATAGTTTTTTCACATCTTCCTAATTCTTGACTGTTTGCTTATTTTCCATCTTAGGAAGTAATCTAAAAAATCTTATTTATCTGGGAACCTTGTTTCTGAACAAACAATTCATATTTCAGTTTAAGCTATCAGTGATCAAAACTTAATGATTTTGTTAAATCAAGCTGATCTCTCAACTTAATTAATATAAACATCTTATTCTTGGGAACTGATAAAAAACATTTAAGAAGTGTATTCACACAAAAATAAAATCTTACAGTCCTACATCATTATTGTAACACAGATAGCAGAAAATCATTATTTTATAAAAAAATCACAGATTCAGATTCATCATGTAGGTGTGATGATCAGAATTAAAGTATTCCATCTCCAGTAGGATCGTTCAACCAGGGGTAGTGGTTAGGACATCTTACACAAGTATGCATTCTCAAAGCTTCTCCAAACAGCTCCTTGGTAGACAATTTACAGCTGTTGGCAACTAAGCATTCAGTTCTGGGTCCGGGAGAACACTTTTCTTGCCATGGAGCAAAATTAACTGCAGCTTCCACAGAAACTGGATTCTGAATCCATTGGATGACTTGAGTCATTGTGATAAAGTAAGCTTCAGGGTGATTCTCCAGAATTTCATCAACCCAGTAAAGAAAGGCGTCCAAAAATTCAGGGTTGTTTTTAAGCCAAGCAGCATGGTAAAAAAGACCTAAGGGTGCTCTGTTCTGGTCAAAATGTCTGTAGAAGTTATGGGTCAGAAAATTGTAAAATTGATCCCCAGTCAGAATATTAGAGCAGGAGTCAATCATAGCACATCCTGGTAAATCTTCATCAATTGTGGGATCCTCTCTTCTGTCAAGTTCATTCATAACCATCTCCCAAACTGCATGAGATCTGGTGGGACAGTTCTGAAGATTACCATGACATCTGTGAGGCATCTTGAAGTACATAGTGTAGGGCCAGAGAGGAGGGTTTTGAAGGGGGGCAGTCAATGAAGAGTCATACAGAAAAGCTTGCTCCTCCATCATGGTGAATTGGTTATTTCCTCCTACTCTAAGATATGGAGCTCTCAGTCCCACAACGGAATTATCAGTGATATTAGCAAACTTCTCAATAATAAGCCTAGACCCAGCCATCTCTTTGGCCCAGCTATCAACATTTGCATTTGACCAAAAGCTTTCATCTGCATTGTGAGTGATTGAATGTGCGGCAATTTCATGACCAAGGCGGTGAGTATTTTGAACAGCAGAGTAATTTGTGTACTTGTGGGAAACGAAGAAAGTCCCCTTAATGTCGCATCCATTAGGATTCCTTCTTTGCTTATCAAAAATCTCGTTGTAAAGATCAATATTGTTGTTATTTATGGCATCGTCAAAAGTGACTGTAATCATCTGAGGGACTCGATCACATCTATCATTCTCAGGACAAAGATCCCCTGGAACTTCTGTTCCATCCTCAGAACAGAAGCAGTCAGGAAGCTTACAAATAGTCTTGTCACAGGGTGGAGCTCTGTTCGGGTCAGTTTCAATGTCTGTAAAAGGTTAAAAAAAATTTGAAATAGCAAAATCAATGTTTTTTTAAATTTTTTTCATGTTTGACTTTTGAATAATAATCTTCTAATTATAAATAAGCCTGCCAATTTTTCAGACATGCTTAATGATTACGGGAGGGGTAAAGTAAACAAAAGTTTGAAGCCAAAAATAGAAAAAATTAAAAATTTTCAAAAGAAGATTGATTACAGCTAACTGTGCACCATTCTAGAGAAGCTGTGAATGCAAGGGTGAAAGGGAGAGTAGAACAATTCAACCAAGACCACATGTTAAGTGAAACTTTCTCAGTCAAACCTCAGTCATCCAGTGTCTTTTTAGTTTATTTTTAAGGAACTGTTATCAGTATTAACAAATCAAAGTGTGTATCTTCTACTATTGCCCAATCCAAGGAAAACGTTAGCCAGTGCCTCATAACAGTTGACAAATTTACGTTCATAAAATTGTTCATAGATGTGTAAATTTCATGCTGGATCATTTAAAGATTAAGAAAATTCATGCACTATAAGATGTCATGCTTTGCATGCAGATACATAGAGTTAGAAATACATATAAGATGATGATTTTAGGAAGCCAGAGGCTGAATTTAAAGAATTTGAGCCGCAGCTAAAAATTTGAGACGCTGCTCAAATATGGTTGGTTCACTTAAAATAGTATTAAACGTATTTAAGCCGGCGCTCAATTAAAACCGGTTTAGGTGGATTTGAGACATTGCTCAAATTCATTAAGTACGGACTCTGGTACGGTACATCCTAGATCAGTTTTCTTTCATATTCATTTAATTTGGTCCCAGGGCATTTAAATTATTAAATTACAGGTATTTTGAGAGTTTCAATGCTAATGAATCACATACAAAATATATAAACTCCCTGATAGCTTATAAATTGATTTGAGTTTAGGCTTTAAACCGAAATATCTTTGTTATCAAACTGATCTAAGGGGTTAGAGGGATGGGGGGTACAACATAGATAACTATTAGATAGATTCATGCATTAAATTCTGTGGTCTGTAATATCTGATGAGAAAAAGTTCTTTGGTAAATAATTGCACAATTAGGTTTATTTTCAGTGCTTAGAATTGATTGTTATAACTTGTTTCGGTTTGACACTTTATTCATAAAAGACGCTCAGTTAAAGGACTAACAAGAAAGAACCTGTTCTTCCACAGAAATTATTTTTCATGCAACATTTTGAAATACAGAGAATAACAGAAACCACAATTTATTAAACCTGTTTTTCATTTAGCAGAAAGAAATGTACTTAGGTTTGGAAATTAAATTAAATTTTTTTTTAGTTTAATTCCTGATGTTAGATAGAACACTAAGGTTTATTTGTCCCTCAAGACTGCATGAATGCATTACAAACTGTGGCTTTTAATAATCCTTGTTTCAACAAAACTCTTACCACAGGCATTTTCATCAGAGCCATCGGCACAATCTTCGATGCCATTGCAGAAGAGTCCCTTCTCGATACAGACACTATCTCCACATGCCAGCAAGTTCTCGTCACAGAGTGATTCAGGTGTATTAAGCAGGGGCTGAACCTTCCTGTCCTTGGTGATCATATCACAGTTTTTCACCGCCCATTTCCAGTCGCAAGTCTGCTTCTCCAAATCAAAAGCTAGACCCGGAGGGCAACGAAGTGCTTGAAGACCCTGAAATATTAAAAGGTTGAGAAATGTTGAAGTTAAATTGATGTTAGTCCAACAAGGTTAAATTGGTAAATTATTGATCTATTGCAACTTTAATCAATTATGAATCATGATCAATCATAAAATCAATTTTACATTTTAACTAAATCAGTCTAATAAATCTGGCACGCATTTAAGTTTAAATTATAATCCCACCAGTGCTGAGTTTAAAACCGGATATTGTTGAAATCTAGGAAGTTTGAATGAGGAAACGTTTAAGGAAGTCTAGAAGTAACTAGAACTGAATATTTCTCAATATATCAAAACCAGTATTTTAACACTCAAGGGCATCAACCTTAAATTAATGTATCATGTATCAGTTACCCATTTTACTCAGGGACTGCATAGTGCATAGAAAGGTACTAATGCAAGGAAAGTTAATTGCGGTCGCGTATACTTTGCGAACAAATTAAAACCTGTTCTCTCTGGGCGGAATTTGTAAACAAGAATAGATGCATCAGTGTCCGTCTAGTATCCAAGGAGGATAAAAGCATTTAATTTTGATAATTTTGAAAATTCACATAATAGTTTTCTATGACCAGAATATTATTTTTGTGCAAATGGATTCCATGTCGGGCTGTGATATCCGTCTTGTGTTTATTTGTCCGCTCAAGACAGTACACTGCAGTACAAAACATGCGTTTACCTCTGAAATTACTTTCCTTGCATTAGTACCTATGTGCATAGGTAATTTCTTGAGTGTCTATCCATTTACAGCGTGGAATATAAGATTCACCATGGTATCATTTAAAGCTTTATTATCAAGAAAAATGAAATATCCATGCCTTTCTCTTTGAAAGGAATTAAGTCTTTGCCGCAAACTCTGAATTGTTATAGATCAAATAATCTAAGTGTGAAATATTAAAGGTTTGTACAATCAGCTTGCAAAGATATAGGGATTAGAAAATTAGAGTTTGTGGCAAAAACTCAATTCCTTTTCAGTCTCCCTGTTGGAGTGATTTGCCTATTTATGCTGCAGAAAAAATGGCGGAAATTGTCAGAATTAGCACTTTCTAATTGTTAGGCAAACTATGATGTATTACACAATTTAGATCTGAAAGGGTATTGTTGTAAATCAGTCATGTCTCTCTATAGATGGAAATTGTAATGAAATTGCAAGGCAAAGAAAAAATATTACAAAAAGACTATTCTCCGGAAATTCAAAACGTAAATTTTCCGGAAATTCATAAAGGAAATTTTCCGGAAATTCATAACGTAAATTTTCCGGAAATTCATAAAGTAAATTTTCCGCAAATTCATAACGTAAATTTTCCGGAAATTCATAAAGTAAATTTTCCGCAAATTCATAACGTAAATTTTCAAATGGTTCAAACTCCAAGATACAGGGTTAACCACACAAAATGAGACTTCAATGACGACCTGAAACTCTTAGATATAAAACCCTGAAGCTGTTTATTTGGTTGTCTGCTATTCAGATGGTATATAAGGCATAAGAAAAAGATACTGAGATGAAGGAAGACATGAATGTAAGAACAAAAGCTAAATTTAACTCTTGCTATATCGCCTTTGGCAATATACTGCCTGAATAATTAGGGGGTTTAAAGCAATTATTATTGCCTAAAATCTTGAGTTTAGTAAAGGTCAGCTAAAATTGGAAAAGTAAGAGTAGTATCCAGAAGATTGTCGTTTTTATTCTTTCTTTTATTTAAAAATAATGCTACGTTGTATAATTGTAAATAGTTCAAAATTGCAATTCAGGGTTACCCACAAAGAATGAGACTTTAAAGACGACTTGACGAGTTTAATTATTAGTTTTTTCTCTCAAATATCCAGCTCTTTGGAGCTTTACACGCCTCGTTAGCTTTGCTAAATACTTAGATAAAGTTATAAAGTCGTCATTAAAGACTCATTCTTAGCGGCGGGTAACCCTGTCACGTGGATTTAACGGTTCTGTCAATATTTGAGAAAGTTGTGAATTTTGATCACAATTTGACCCATTAAGCATAATTTTTCAGTCTTTCTTCTTAAATACTTTTTTGTCGGAATATGCGTTTTGAATGAAAAAGTATAGAATAAACAAATCCGTAAGTTTAAACGTTGTTGTATTATAGAACAAAACACGTTTAATTTCAAATAAAAGACGCCAAATGCTTCTCACTCTAGTTTGTCCAGGGTGCTATGGGCATCTTTTAGAATAATACTGTTTCTCCAAATAACACTATTCGTTGCGACATTTATAATAAAAGAAAGGTAAGAAACGAAAATTATTTCATAATTTATGGTTACAACTAGGGTTTCTAATCAGAATTACATTGCGCGGATCAAATACTAGATTTTAAGCACGATTGGAGAACAAGTCTGCAATATTGAAAACCCTATTTACAACGTTGAATTAATAAAGAATTGTAAGATAGACGAAATTAGATTTATATCGTACTTATATGTTTAAAACTGGAAAGAGTTAATTTTACTGAAGAAATTAGGATTATAAAACTGTAGTTTAAAAGATGTGTGCATTGCGTATATAATATGCTCCTCTTGAAAATTAATTAAAGAGAGACGGTGACCCATGAAACTTTGGAATAGGAAGACAGCATTAACTCATTCTAATATGTACAATGTACATGATGTTTATAATGTTTACATACCGCTGCAGTACACTGTATAACATCTCTACAGTTTTCCTCCCCTGCGGTTATTCTAAAAAGCTCTCCTGCTTCTTTATCCTTGCAAAGAACCTGCTGATCGGTTAAACCCTCCTCGTTAACATCATCTTGACATATCACACCTAGAGATACAGAGATTAACGTTAGAACAGAACTTGCAACTTTTGTATTGCTAATCCCTCTTGGAATTTGGAGTCCGACGGTTTGGGCTAGTATTTGTTCGATTAGACAATGGCCTTTCAGATTAAAAGTTTTCACTGTGAATATCAAGATCAAGATTTTCAGATCAGCGCATATATATATATGCACACAATAGCTTTTGTTCTTTAAGGACGTTCAAACCAGAATGTAGAGGTTAATACGAGTAATAATGAGGGGGGCGTAGAGGCTGATACTATAAAAAAAGATAGGGTACTGGGTAAAACAATAGAAAAGGGCTTTTGTACAGTACTGCTATTAAAGTACAGTACTGTATTAAAGTACAGTACTGACAAGAAAACTGAGAACGGTTGTTGTCTATTATTTTTTCTTTTTCTTGTCATTTTTAAGGACACATGATATATAAATTTATATATAATACATATATATATATGAAAATCTCAGTCATCTTATATAGAGAGAAGGATACGCTAAATATACTTTCACTTGTAGTGTGGGGGAGTGAGGGCGGGAGGCACTATAGAGAAACCTGACCCAAAAACCAGTTTTGCGCCGGCCTTGGCCCACCCTCCATTATCTAAACCAAACCAAGATGGCGCCTGGGCCTCCGCTGCAAGGCCAAGGGCAGTGTCTGATCGAAAGGGATATCACCATATTAAAAGTGTCTATACATTTAAAAACGAAAGGGAAAAAAGCTAGTTCGTCTCTGTCTGTAAAGTTCTTCAATATTTAAAAGTACACCTTGTCTGAGTCATTTCTCATTGCACTCTGTAAACAAAGAGGTACAAAACTTTGCAACCGTCATTAAAATTTGCAAATTGTTGCCAAATTATAAAATCATTATTTAAGGTGCCAAAATAGCAACAAGCAGAACATATAAAATTTAAGCGAATTCTGTTATTTTTTTTTAATTCTTGTGTTTTTAATACAAAGATAACTGGTATGTCTACTTTTTGTCGACGAGTTTTAAATCATTATTGACTAAATTTTAGCCTTTAACATGTTTAACTTTTGAGCCAACAAATTCAGATTTCAAAATAACGTTGAATAAAAGAAAATTGAGAATAAATAAAAAAGGGACAATGTTCAAATATTGGCTTAGTTGGTGCAATGGGAGAAGGTAAAAATACTAACTTGAAATGTATAGTGTAGCCAAGGCTACTGAGACCCAATTCATGACGCGTGTGTAGACCTGGAAAAAATAAGAGAATGTAAAAAATATTTTTTTAAAACTGAATTTTTTATTTAAATATATATTTGTATGTTACAGAACTTATACAAATATTTTCTTCAAAAAAACAAGACTATACAAAATAGGATCTAAAACCTTAAAATCTGCGATCAAGGGATAGAAATTTGAATATATCCTTGAAAGCGTGAAAAGCGTCAAAATTCAACGAGCAATTAGTTTAAGAAAAAGAAGCGAAACTTTCGTCTGAAAAAATGATTTAAAAAAGAATTTTAGTTGTTTAACCAACTAAAATTATAATATTTAAAAAAAATTAGATTTGCTAAATACACAAGTTGTGAGCTTCTTCTAAAAATGTACGATTTTACTTTGTAGTTAACTGTACCGTGTACTCCGTCTCAAAATAATACCGTAAAATATGTATTATTTATAAAAAAAATCATTTTAATGATAGAAATGTAAAGGTTAATTTATTTTGAAGAAACTGAACCATCAAGATTTTATTATGCATAAAACTACATTCTATCAACCCCATATGTTGAACAATGTACACTTTATGTGCAGGGTTACCCACAAAGAATGAGGCTTCCAAGACGATTAAACAGATTTAATTCTGTATTTTCCTTAAATGTATGGTTCTCTACAGCTGTAATTGTTTTTCTTTCTTTTCAAACTCATTTAACTAGACAATTGAAAGACTATACTCAGGGCGAAAACACAAGTTCATCCTTAAATTGGTATTTTAAATGTCGTCATTAAAGTATAATCCTTTGTGGGTAACCCTGTACTTAGCAAACACTATAGAAGATAAACTAAGTGAAAATTGACAACAGTCTCATTTTCTTTTAATTACATATATACAACGCGCTTAGGGCGCGCACCCCACCTGCTGTCTGTGCTGAACCCGGTCCAAGGGTCGACTGAACGTGCGCGCACAGTGGAAATATCGCCCTACCTACCTCTCCTGGCTGATGGGGGGGGGGAGGCGTATATCTGGAAAACTAAAAGTTTTAATCTGACCTTGATTTGAAAGGCCCTGCACACTTTATGACCTATGCCAGAATGGTTGGTTTGATTTGTCCCAGGCTGATTCCGGCGGATAATAATCCTTCTGCCTGAAATCAAGGCCAAGAAACGCCTGAATATGTACTCCCGTTTTAGGGCTTAATGCATGCCTTTCAGGGACCTGTCTATTCACGTTGGGTAACATGATGTTTATATAATTCTTTTGAAGAAGTGTTTACAATTTTGAATTCAATGAAAATAGAAAATTATTTAAAACGTAAATTTAAAATAATGAAAAGTCTAACAAAGTTCTTATGCCAGTAATTTTTTAGTATGCTGAGTTTAGCTTTGAAATCAAACTTAAAACTTTAAAGCTCATTGCAAGCAAAAAATGGTTATTAAAAGGACATTATGGATTTGAGTTCATTTACCTTCACAGGGGGTTTCAGCTAATTTTACAGTATAGGGCATAAAACATTGTTGTCGGATAGAAACAAGATTCTCAAGTTGAACAGATAAACAACAGTATAACCCTCAAATCAAAACTTATAATGAAGAAATTCTCTTTATTTCCTGAAAAAATTAAATAAATAATAACATATAAAAAGTGTTACAATGAATGTTTATAATGAAAAGATTCTTACGATCTATTTTATGATATAAAAGGGTTAAGTAGTTGGACAGTCCTAAGACGTTTTTAAACTTCTGAAAAGAATGACAATTAATTATTAACGAAAGTCACTAATTCTTTATGTGAAAATCTTCTTTGTTTAACTTTTGAAAAATGGATGGAATCACAATGCTTTAGGTTATTTACACTCCGATAGGGAGAACAAAGGAACCGGCGGCTAAAATTATTTGGTTTGGATTTTAGTGTCTCCGAGAGGGGGGTCTAAGTTAAAGACGACTTTACACTGATCATAGTTAATGGTTGACAAACATACGACGCATTTATTCTATAATTGTGAATTTTAAAGTTTCTTATAAGCAAGAAATGCTTACTTTCGCTGAGAAAACATCAATGGATTTCTAATTCATACTTGAACAGTCAAAGCTTTTAAGGGTATCGTTGTGAATCGGACATGTTGCCATCTTTGAATGAAAAGTCACTTGAAATTATGCTTACAATCCCTTTAACTTAATTACACTTACAGTCCCTTTAACTTAATTCACAAAGGCAACAAAGCTATATATTGATTTTACATTTAACTAAATAAAGTTCGTAACTTAAAAATAAACTTAAAATAAAACTTTTGTTGCTGCGAGGTTACAAAGTCTACTCCAACATAATTATATTGTACATTTAGCCCCATGTCAACTGAACACCAAGCATACATAAGGCCTTTTAAGACACCAGCGTCCGAATTTAATGAATTTGAGCCGCATCTCAAATCCGCCAAAAACTGGATTCAATTGTGCACCGGCTTAAATCTTTAAACATTGAATACAATTTTAAGTGGAACCAATCATATTTGAGCCGCATCTCAAATTCTTTAAATTCGGCCTCTTGTATTCAAAAGTTAAAACACATAAAAATAAATAGCTTAACAAAATATTCATTAAAAAATCAGACATTTTTCATTTTTGAATATATTGACGTGTTTTTATTTTTCAATTATACTCATTAAACTATTAGTTTTTCATTCTCCCTTATAAATATAATTACGATATACGATGATCTATTTAATTAAAGTGTAATATTCAAGATCTTATTTAAACATAGAATTGATACAATTATGAATTAACGTTAGAAATATTGATCATTAGATGTTCCCTGGAAAAAATCTTGTTTAAAGATCAATCGAAACTTTTTTTGTGAACGTGAGGTACCCGCTCATCGAACCTAGAGGAAACGAACCTAACGTTTTTCTGACCTAACGTTTTTCCGACCAGATGAGCAATATTTTTAGGTCGGATGAGCAATATTTTTAGGTCGGATGAGCAAAATTTTAATGTACCACCTGATTATCTCTGTACAAGTAAACAGGTACTTTAAAGGACAATTTAGATCACGTATATTTTCCCATTCTTTAGTTCTTCTTCATCCCCAGGTTTAATAGAGAAATATATTCAAGGAGAAAAAATCATTTTTTTCAAATTGACACAATTTGTCGCGACAAACAAAACAGCGTATAATAATGAAACCCATTATCGGAAACCCTAGGCCGAATTTAAAGAATTTGATTCGCGGCTTAAATATAAGTCGCGGTTCAAATTTTGTTGATTTCACTAAAATTTGTATTAAATTTTTCAAGATTTAAGCCGGCGCTAAATTTAAACCGGTTTTTTGGGAATTTTAGACGCGGCTTAAATTCATTAAATTTAAATACCGGTTAGGGGTAGTTTTGTAGATCCCAGTATTTGTTATAAAAAATATTATTTCATGACGTTTCATTACATTTTTTTTCTTGTTTTCTGATTTCTTAAATTAAAATCTACGCAAATGCATTGACCAGAAAAAGAAAACTCGGAAGTTTCGTTTAACGATACTCTCTCAAATTTCCGGCTCCGCGAAGTGTAAAAAAAATCACTAAAATAAGGCAGAAACTATAGATACAAAACATTAGAAAAGTATCAAATCACCCTCCTCCCCCTCTTGTCTTGCTTCCCTGCACTAAGTAAAACCAATAACACTAAAAATTAAATACACTGCTTTCTTCGAAAGAAGAATAACCTAACTCAACCCCCCCCCCCCCCCCCCACCCATTTAACGGCAACAGCAAGAGTGTTCTTTATATTAACGTACTAACCACTGCCCCTCCCCCCAACACCCCTTAGCTTCGATAGTACTCGGGAATTCCCAGTGAATCAAACAGAAGTGCAAAGAGAGATAGTGATGGGCAAATTTAAAAATGTAAAAAAATAATTGCAAAATTTCAAAAATCCAATGTATAATCAGGAAAAACCCCAAAATATAAAAATTCCATGTGCAAAAATCAATCAAAAATATTTAGTAATATATTATTTTTTTTACATTGTGTTTCAGTTTTACAAGGCCAAATTAGACAAAGCCAAATTGGCATTTCCACCCTCTCACATAAAATGTGCCCCCTCTCGCGAAAAATGTGCACCCTATCACGCAAAATTTGCACCCTCTCACACAAAATGTACAACCTCTCATGCAATATGTGTGGTGTGCACCCTCTCGCGCAACATGTGCACCATATCATGCAAAATGTGCACCCTCTCACGTAAAATGTGCATTGTGCACCCCCTAACGTAAAATGTGCACCATCTCACGGAAAATGTGCATTTTGCCAATTAGTCCTTTTTAGCGAAGCTACAAACACCAGAGCTGGTTGCATCTTACATGTTCAATGTAGGTTCTAGGGAGTGACCAGCAATGTAAGGTAGTTTAAATGAGAATGTAGTATTGCAGAGAAATGTTAAGAATTCATTTGAGACATATAAATCGTTTTAAAGATCTATAATTACTTATTTTGAGTGCAAAATCGACGTTCAAAATAATGAATTTAAGTGGCTACGTTTTGAGAATGTTTTTATAATTATTTAAGAACGACAAAAGAATGACATTCTTCAGTAAACTAATTACTTGTTTAGGAAATCGAAAATAAGTGATCTTATTCAGTTATCAGTTTCTGTAATCTTTCATTCTTAAACAAAAATGTTCTACAGATTTCCTGGAATTTTTATTGAAAAGACGACATTTGAAGAATTTGTAGAAATCTGCAAACAATTATTTATAAAGAATAAGAAAATCAATATAATGATAAAAAATAAAAAATAATTGATTCTAACATTGATTAATTGACAAATTTCTATTGAGAAATATGTTCCTAAACATCTAATTAATTTACTGTCAAATTTTTGATACATTTTTCGTCGTCCATATTTAATAATTAAAAGAAAAGATTTTCAAAACGCGACCCACCCAAAATGATTCCTGAATAAATTTTCCACAATAGTAATACTACATTCTCAGTTCAACTACCATTCTACCAACTTTAGGGGGAACAAAAAGTGTGAATTTGAAAAAAGGCATATTTCGAAAGCTAGGTTCTCTATCTTGTGAAATTAACAAAATAGAATGTTTTTAAAATGAACCAAAAAATAATGATGACTATCTCTGATAAGGAGTGCAATTCAATTACAACTGGAAACCCCAAATTAGGTTTCAAATCAAAGGGAAAGAGAGTTTACAGGTTAAAAAAGGAGGATATGGTCGATACGATAATAATATATTAATCTCAATACAAAACTATCTCTACCTCTTTGTTCTCTATTTAAAAAAGTTGAGTTTTGTTATTATGAAGCGTTAAGAGATTCCATCAAAGTTTTTAAATATATATTGATTATCTTCCTTATATTGTTCACAAATAAAGGTTTAAAGAATGGTACGGTTGTCAAATGGGAAACGCCACGTTTTGAATGGAAGATCAATTGTTAATGTCAGGGGCGTATTTAAGAATTTGTCCGGGGGGGGGGGCTTATATTTTTTCTTTCCAGGGGGGCTCAGCACCCGTTGGAGCCTGAAAAGCCCCTGACATTAATAGATTTCACTAATCCAAGAGGGGGATTAAATGAATCTATGTAAGACAGTCCCGGGAAAAAAAGTTTCTGAAAAAAAACCTGGAAATAAAAACTTTGGAAAAAAAGTCTTTTTTTCCTGAAATAGTATGGGGGCTGCCAATAAAGTCTCAGGAAATAAGATCTCAGGAAAAATAAAGAAGAAGAAGAAAATAAATCCGAGGAATAGAAAACCTAGAAAAACCAGGACTTTTTTCCATTGTGAATTTTGCATTTTCACTTGTTAGAGGACTTTTTTCCGAGGACTTTTTTGTATAAAATCATACTGGAGCCAGAAAAAAAATCCTAAAAAATAAAGTCTCGAATTGGTAGGACTTTATTTCCGGAGACTTTTTAGTAAAAGGACTTTTTTCCACAGGACTTTTTTAGTGTGAAATTTTAGGACTTTTTTCCGGAAACTTTTTTTCAAGGACTTTTTTGGCGGTTACCTGATAAATGTGTATGCAGTACCTTTTAATCAAAATCACAGAGTAGATATTGATAGAGGTGCAGTCACCAGCGTACCAAGTACAAAAAGCAAGCTGGACAAAACTGTACAATTTTAGAAAAATTGGGGCTGTTAGTGTACGTATTCTTAAAAACAATTTTTTTTACAGTGCTAATTTTATTTACTTTCTTATTTTTTGTTTACATTTTATGGGGAAAATATCTATATATATTTCATATTATTTAGTATTGATGTGTACGCCGGTATAATTCCTACTAAACATATGATAAACCCCTGCAGACTCTGCAGCATGTGTACTGTATGAACCCCACTTCTTCTTGGAATCCAGGTGTCGTGAGTTGATTTGGCTGAGTGTCTATTTTTGTCTATGATTAAAATGTTTTGATTTTTCTATCATTTGTTTACATGTTTACATAACAATGCATCTGATTGGCTCCTGTGCAAGCCAAGGAAAATATTCCTTCCTACTCAGCATGTCTAGCAGGGGAGTACACAATGTGGATTGAAGGGGGACTTCATTGGGCTAACCCAAGGAGTATGGAATAGAAGGGAGATACAATTGACCTGGACCGCCCTACCATATGATTATGTATGCTTTGCAGACGGTACTTAATTTGTATAAGAAATATTCAGAATAGGTTATTGTATACGTGGTAATTGTACATCAGACAAATATTTCTTATTCAAATGAAGTACCGTCTGCAAAGCGTGTATATAATCATGGTAGGGAGGGCCGCGTCAGTTGTATCTCCCTTCTATTTCATACTCCTTAATTTCTACCTAAATTGTAGGTTTATCTACTGTACAGATTGTATATGTATATCATAGATAGAGATGGGCATCGTTTTTTTTGGAAAGAATGACATTTTTCGTGAAAAAAGGTGTTTTTTAAAAGTAAAAAAAGATGGACGAACGAAATAAAAAAATGATAGTTTTTCAAAAACAAAAAAAAAAAACGAACTATCATTCGTTCGACAGATCTTGATTGTTTATGGACGATTTTGGTCGTTTTTTTAATAAATGAACCAATTTTCCTTTTTTTTGAACTACAGTTTTGTCTTTCTGAACGAATGATTTTTCCGAACACATTTTTTGAAAACAGTAGTTTGTTTACCAACTAATTTTAAGAAAAAAACTTTTGACAAACGAATGTTTTTTTGAATGAACGATTTTATTAAATTAACGATTGTTCTGAACAAGCGATATTACTGAACTAAAAATTTCAATGTATGATCGTTCAGTGAGAAAACAAACGAAATAGATGGAAAATGAACGATAATTTCGAGAACAAACTTAATCAATTATTTTTTGAATGATTGAAAAGAAAGGAACGAAATGGACCGTTCATGAACGAATAACGAACGAAATAAAAAAACTAACGCGCGCATTTCTAAATTCATAAACTTAATATTAAAGACTGCCTAACGAATAGATGTCAAAACGTTTTCAATTAAAAATATATTTTAATTTAACATTGAAGGAGCAGTCCTATATAGGTAATAGTTTCATATATACGGTGGTAGGCGATACTATCAATTTATAGAAGACAACTTTTTTTTAAGTTTTTATTGTTAACAAGCTTTTTACAAGTTTGCAAGTAATTAAAGAGGAGGTTTTTTAAATTTACAGTTTCCATTTGTTTGTATATTTTCATTCTTTCTAAAAGTTTGAAATCAAAAGTCACCTTCATTGTATTCATTATCGCCGTACGTAAACTTCATCTCTCCAACCTTACATCTAATCACGTTGGATTTATTTCGCTTAACATACAGTACATGGATGGAGAAAACAGAATTAGGTTATTTTTGACCCAGCTCGACATTTCGGCAGACTGTAATCACCAAAGAGCGGCCAGAGCCGGAAATATAAAAGAAGTATCGTTGGACGAAACTCTCGAGTTTCCTTTTAGGGGTCTTAAGGGGTCTATACATTTGTGTAGATTTGAAACAACAACAAAAAACTAGAATAAAGAGAAAAAATAAAACTAAATATATGAAGTAATTTTTTTTTATATTTCTAAATCTACACAATTGCTATACCTCATTCGTGAAACCCGGTTTCCGATACTGGGTTTCATAAGGATACCCTGTCTTAAGTTTTGGGCTCAGAGCTGTTCAAAAAAGAGGAGATGGACATATTATTGAATGTTTCAGGCTGCGGGCAAAAATTTTGTTTTTAAAAAGGAGGAAATTATTGATATTTTATTTTCTTTAAATATCTTTATATTAGATGGTCAGGATCGAGTATTGAATACAATGAATAATACATAAAATGTTTTTCTCGAAAAAAATATCAATATTTTCAAAAACATATTTTTCAATGTATACATACTAAGAACATAATATTACAAGAATAACAAATTGGATATATCAGAAGATATACTTTAGTTTCATTATGAAACTTATTTGTACATGAAGTAATATGAGTTGAATGAAAACACTTCACAGTTCATTAATAAATATTTTAAGCTTCATTAATAACTTATTATTATTAAAATAGTAATTAGTATGGTGGTAGGCTATTGTATTAATATGATAAAGACAACTTTTGATTTCAATTTTGATTTATATCAAGCTTTTAAACAACATGGATACACAAAAACATGGAAACAAAGAGAAGTTTTTATTTAAAAAAGCATCTCATCAATTACCTGTAAACTTGTAATTTCAAAAAAGCTTGTCAAAAATTAAAACTTAAATATAAAAGTTGTCTTCATTATATTAACATAATCGCCTATATACCACCGTAGTTTATTAAAATTAGAAATACATCTATTTAATTAAATTTATTAAAAAACACTCAGTTATTAAAAAAAAATTTTGCCTGATAAAGTTGAAATCTTTGCATTGAGGGTTGTTTGAAATTACGCTTTTACTTCCTTTAAATTAGCAATGATGCAAGAAAACATAATCTAATAACTTGCAATTAAATACATTGCAGGGTTCTCATTTCAGATCAAAACAAACTTTGGAATAATTTTCAACTGTCTGTTGTTCTATAATATGTACAATTTAGAATTTCACCCATTAGGATTTTTCCACAAATAATGATTACATAAAATTAATTCATGTTAAAAGCAGGTTTAAGTGAAATCTTGGGACACAATCTCATGTTTCATATAAACCATCTTGCACCATGCAATATATTATTGGTTAACAAGTGTCAAATAGTTAATTGATCTGAACCAGTGCAAGGATTTGTCGGTCCAGATTAACCGTATACTTAAAGGAATTTAGTCTTTGCCAAAAACTCAACGTTTTTAATCCCTATGTCTTCACCATTTGATTGTGTAAATCTTTGGTATTTCAAACTTAATTGTGCTAACATATGTAAGGTATACTATAGGTAACATTGGGTTACATAGATATAGGGGTTATAAAATCGGAGTTTGTGGCAAAGACTCATTCCTTTACTCGTATCAGCCCTTCTAGTAAATCCAGAGTGTAGTGGACCCAGCGCGTTTGATGGAAAAATTTAGATAAGCTGGATACAGTCGGAAACAGCATGTGTAAACTTTAAGTATTAATTCAAAAATTCTAAAAACTGATAAATATCTTTAATCCGTATGATTTGTTTTGAAATAAATATCTAACAAATTGAAGCTAGTTTACAAATCAAACAATTCTAAAACATCATCATCCCCCCGGGACAACTTTGGAGGGAACAGATCCATTTCATGAACAAAAGTGTCAGCCAACGATATTGTTTCATCGTCAAACATTCTGTCAAATAAGGTCACATGATCTGCCCATGCAGTAGTCCCTGATCTGTCCTAAAGAAACAATATCATAATTAATAATTTATTTATGCAGCAGATACGAAGATTTAAATTGTCAGAACTTGGCACTTTCTGATAAAAGAAGTCGAGAAGATCAAGCTAATACCTTGCCCGATCCACAACGGTACCCTTGTTACATTGTTACATTGGTATCTAATTAATACATGATTAGACAACGCGTTTAAGGGTACCGTTGTGAATCGGGTATTGCCAACTTTTCATGTAGAGTCACATTAAAATTTAGCTTACAATTCCTTAAATGGGAGGGGAATGATTAATTGTAATCACCTTTTCCAGTTCAGAACTTGAATTAATTGGGTCTTCAAGGTCAGGTGTAGTTGTCGGAGTGTCTCTCTTGATATTATTATGAGCATCTAAGCTTTCTTCGACTACTACAGGGTTGGAGGGAGACTGGGAAGAAAATGAAGATTCTACGGATCAGGTTTTTTTTAGATTGTCAAGCTCACATTGGTTAAGATTTTCGTAAAACAACAGGGAATCTTACCAGAACGTTTTTTGAAAATTTAAAATTTACAATCTAAAGAAATTCCTTCTGGCTTAATCAAGTATCTTGGCTGAAGAGGATCTATTGGAGATGGAAGAGGTTGATGTGGAGGTTGATGAATTGTTTGATGAAGTGGTTGATGAGGGTGCTGCAAAAGAAAAGGATCTGCTTGATTATGATGTAGCACACTACCCCCGCTCTCAACAATCTGAAACTGAAAATTATGAAATAATATTTTTAATTAATTTGTCATCGATGAATGTAATAAATTTTTCTGAGATTATATCATAGGGGTTTCATAATACTGAACTTGCATTCTAAAAGAGCTAAAGTTTTATCTTTCTACATATATTTTGCTTGTCTGAGTGTTTGTTTATATTAATTTAAACGTAGAAAACAGCTGAACCGATAGGGCTCAAAAGTTTTTGAGACAATTCACATAACCCCAGAATTTCAAAGTTTTGTCTCCAAAAAAATTGTTTTCGTAAAATTTGGAAAAAAATAAAAATGTGTCTCCAAAAAAACTTAGATTTTCGTATAACTTTGTAAATCCACGAAAACATATGATGAAAGCCTGGTTGAAAGCCGTCTTTATTACTTCATTAAAAAATATTGGTATATTAAATTTCGTATATTTTCACAGGATTTTAATCATACATACAAAGTATAATATTTGTAAGGTAGATTTTATAGTTAATTTAACGAGTTACTTTTCTAAATTTATAATTGAATATACGACATTTTAAAAATTCTGAAAAAATATGAATGTTCTAAGGAAACACCACTCACTTGTTTATACTTTCTTGTAGCCCTGGGCATATACATTTTGCAATTTAGAATTATAAAGCTCTTGTTTTTAGCTTTAATTTTTTAAGAAGTAATTGGCAAAATTCTCATTGATTTTATAGCTGAGCGTATGCTCACTTTAGATCACCTGTGATGGAGTAAAAATGTGACAAGAGAAATAATGAAAAAAAATTATTTTTTAAGGAATTAAAGTTTGTTTGTCCACTATTTTTCTGAAAAAAATAATGAAAGGTTTTGGTATAATTCTATTTAATTGGTTTTCCCAGGCTTTGAGATATAGTTAAAGGGACTGTAAAGGAAAAATGAAAGGGGTATTGGCTGAATTCTAATCACTTTAGCTCTTTATGATCGCGACCCTTGAAAGTTATATCTGACGTTTCTGTCTCGATAAATTGATATAAAACTGTGTTAAAGGAATTGAGTTTTTGCCACAAACTCTGAGTTTCTAATTTCAATATCGTTGCAACCCAATGTCGTAGACCTTTAATATTTCAAACTTTGAAAGAAATTAGATCAAATAATATAAGTTTTAAATATCAAAGGTTTACATCATAAGGCTGCAAAGATATAGGTTTTACAAAAAACTGAATTTGTGGCAAAGACTCAATTCTTTTATACGAAAATTCATATATATTCAATTTTACATAGAAATAGTAGGGTTATCTTACAAGAAAGCTGGGGAGTGATTCTTTTCAGTCGATAAGGATTTTTAAATTTGTTTATTTTGAAAAAAAGTTCCTTAGTTCGTATTCCTCGTCCCTTGTTCCTTATCTCTTGTTCCTTATCTCTTGTTTCTTATCCCTTGTTTTTTATCCCTTGTTTCTTATCCCTTATTTCTTATCCCTTGTTCCTTGTTTTTCTTTTTCTTTTACCCTTGTCTACTATAAACCTATTCTAATGTTTTTTGTCCCTTGTCCATTTGCATCTAGGTACACGCGCTGTCAAATGGCATTTGTCCCCCTTGTTCCTTTAACCCCTTGTTTCATTGTCCCTTGTCCTTTGGCCACAATTATTCCCTTGTCCCTCCCTACCTTTGGTTGATGAAGGATTGAGAGTAAGCGGATTGCTCTCATCATGGCTTCCTACAAACAATCACAGATGTTCAGGAGGCACTAATGGTGCCAAAACTTTGTGCAACTTGCAATGCAAACAAAAAAAAACTAAAGAGCAAAGCAAATCCTTTTAAACGAATTATAAGCAAAAACAAAACAAAAAAGCAAAGTGGTAGAAAGTGCTGATTTTATAAGTTAGGAAAAAAAGCTAAACAAACAAAAGTATATCAGTTAAGTATTATATAACAAAATAATAAGGGGTAATTGGTGAATTTTGAAAGTTTTTAAAAGGGATTTTTTCATAATATTTCTAAAGGCCATTAAAGATTATTGAAAAAAGTATGAGGGTTCAAATAAAAACTTTTTTTAAAGGAAAAGTATAGCAATATTTTCAAGTGTCCCTCCGGGGCACAGAGGACAAGCCCGCTGTTTTTCAACAATTCAAATGTTTTTTTTTAACTTAGATTTAGTTTTTAACAACAATTCATATCAAAATATTTATTTTTTGCTACTTCTGGAAAGTAAATATTAATATTTCTTAATTAAAAATTCAACAGGTTACAATTACAAGTGTTTCTTTAGATAAAAAGAATAAATCCCGAATCAATCCAAACTCAAAGATTTAAGGACACTGTTGTGAATCAGACATGCGGTTACTATACTGAGGGGAATATCGTTTTGAGGCCCCGTTTTTAAATACTTAACGTGGTGAGACTTTTGAGAGGCTTCACATCAATCTGAGACGGGAATCATATTTCAAACATTGCATCATTGCATGCAAGACAAGTCAGCTTTTTTACTCTGACCAACGATTAGATTTTTAGTTTTTTTTTTGTTAGAAAAAACCTTTTTCGTCAATTTTTTGATCAGAGGAAAAAGTTTGCAAAATCTAACTAAAAAGCAAACGCATCGAGAAAACATTTTATAATTTAATTAATGATTTAATTAAAGAATCTATCTGTCTAAAAACGAAACTCAAAACGTTGCCATCTCAAGTCGTGACACGCCACTCTACAAATGAATGAATCGCTCAATATAACGCCTACATTCCCTTTAACTTAAAATAATAACGTAATTCTTACAGTCTCTTTAAATTTCTAAATTTCGTAAGTCCCACAGCGGATTGCAGAATCACCTTCAAAGATAAAACAAATGTGTGATATGCCCCCCAAAAATGGAAAAAAATAGAATTAAATATGACTTAAATATCGAAACGTTTTTTTTCTGAATTTTGTGTAAAAACTTTTTTTATATTTAACAACAAGGTCAAATCCTGATATTTCAAACTGATTGCACATGCATGAGGATAACTCAGATAAAATACATTCTTTTAAATTTAAAAACTATTCAGATCACAATACGCTCAGACCAGAACACATGATTTTTAATCTTTTTTCTTGAAAGAAAAATCAATTCCTTAATGAAATTTTTTTATTGTCTTTATAATAAAACAAGACATTCATTTATATGTTGTGTATAGCCGGCCAAACGGTTGGGCTGACATTTTTTGTGAAAAGTCATGGGTGGCCGGGATGTGTTATAGGCTAAAATTTGTAATTATTCATGGGCAACGCCAGGCCCTTTAGTTTTATGTATTAATCTTATTTCGATAGTTTGAACTTTATCAAAGCTAGGCAGTACAGGGATACACGCGTATTCTTAACTCATTTCTATAGATTCAGTGAAAGATTAAATTCATTAAATTCACTTAAAAATGATGTATCCTGTTGAGCCTGTAAAAGAAATAAAACCAAACTGTGATGATGCACCCCTGAATTGTCTGTTGCGCTGGAGATCTTGATTTCAGTCCCACCGTTCCGATCTGGGAAAACCAAACCAAATATAAATATCACGGAACATGACGGAAGCAAGACGGTTGTCTGTAATTTTTGAAATTATTTGCGGCATTCATCCGTCAACCTTCTTTTACATTCACGAAATAAACACAAAATTCTCCTAGTTCTGGCATTTTCCAAATGTGGTCTGCCTTTTTGTGATGTCAATACTACTTAAATTAAACCAAAATCGTCGATTAAACAAAATTCTTCATAATATTTTGAAAGCCTCAACAAAAAAGCAAACTACATTTCGGAAATGCCAGACTAGGCGTATTTTGTGATAAAAAAGGTAATCATATATTTTACGGTTAAATTAAATCAATTTTAAAATGAAGATCTTGTGCTACGGCTGAGAAAATTCTTACCAATTTTAATTAATTTTGATTGCAAAATTTAAAATAAGGAGAAACTTTATTTTTAGTACATTAATTAATCATTTTTTATTTTTAAGCTCAGAACCTTATTAACAATTTTCAGATTTAATTCATTTTTTACTTGTTTTACATTAACTGATATTTTTGACTCTCAGACAATTTATTACATAACTATTTTGAAATTTATTCAGAGAGATTTTAAAGATAAAGTACAATTAATTTTTGTTTAATAAATGATATTGGTTCCTGTGTCTGTATATGAAGGGTAGATGACCATGTATGCAACTAGAACTACAAAACATGCTGCAAACACTAAAATTTTATTTTCATGTTTTTATTATTTTGTTATAAGCAGCAACTTCCCCAAGATATTTTCCCAAATGGCAACTTCCCAAATGTGCAATTTTCCAAGCGGCAAATTCCAAGTCTACCCAAGCCGCAGTGCATGGTCCCTTGTTAGTTCTAGCCGCAGTGATCAGCCCCAAGCCCAAGCCTCAGAAAGTCTGACCTAACCTTTTGGAAGTTGCTGCTTGGGAAATTGCATATTTGGGAAGTTGCCACTTGGTAAATTGTCACTTGAGAAGTCGCCCTTGGGAATTGCCTTTGGGAAAATACCTAACACCACAATTATAAGGAAGGTTTCAATGTAAATTTTTTAAAAATGGTTCTTTAAAATTACATCTAAAATCTCTTTTTTTATTTTTCAGTTATCGTTACATTTTTATTGTACTTCACCCACTTCCTATACCAGGTACAGGTTTTGGTGACAGATTGTACAGACATTTTATTGTTGCGTTGCTTGGATGTGTTGACCGGTCCTGAGCATTTTCCTTTTCAACACCACAAGAGTCGACCAGATGATATCTCCCACTGAACGTGTATACGAGGAACATACTTTGAGTTAATTTATTAAATGAAAATGTTTCCTGAGATGATGATGGAAAGTATAACGTAAAGTTGACGATTTTTCTCCTCAAAATCTAAACAAGGAGTTATATAAATGCTACAAACCTCCTGGGGAGGGGGCATAAACAAATAGATTATAGTACAATCGGTAGCAACTGAGAAATCATACCTTCCCCCTCCCCCCCCCCTTCCTGTCCACCCATTATTCATACCATACTTTCTTAATTTTTTACTCCTGTTGCAATCTTAATTTTTGTTTACATGAATAAAGAAATAAACACTTGTTAAAAGCAATAATTTAACTACTTACCACCTGCCAGTTTATCCAAGCTGCTATAAATAAAACTGGTTTTAAACAGCTGATACAAAAAAATGGCGGACATTATATTTCAAAATCTTCTAAAGTTATTAAAATACTAGTTTGGTTTAACGGTGAAAGATTATTAATTAACTTTATATTTCTGCTAAAAAATTTTGATATAAATTATTGTACAAATAGATTGATAAATTGATTCATAACTAAACCCTTAATTTGATTTAATGTTGATGATTTGTATAACTTATTTTTTCAATTGAGATTTCTCTACTTTTAAGTGGCTTGATCGCATTTCTGCTGCAGGAAACTAGGAGAGAATTATCATATTTCAAGCAACACTGTCCTCCTCATTTTTTATGGGATAAAGGTACCATGATTTGACACATTACTCTTTAAATGATGGCTCACATAAAATTTGTTTAAACTTGAGTTCCGAACAAAGAGAATAGAATATATATTAGAGTGGAATTTAGTAGAAAAAAGTGTAAAACGGCCATTTTGTTGTACTGTTTCCATACTGCAGGTGTACTTCACATATTTATGCTATACAACCTTTTGGGCCCTTGAACATCATTTTACAGAAAATCTAAAATTAATATTAAAAGAAAACCAAATTATGAAATAGGCTGGTTTCATAATTTACCAATGATCATTTCACATAAACTCTATGCCTTTCACTTTACAAACGATGATTTTCCGTTATAACAATAAATCAAATTTGTGAACATTTACATGATTTGTACACTTTGAACTCCCTTTCAGGCTGAAAGGGACTGACAAAATTCATACCGAGGGATTGTCTAAATTTCACTCTAATATATATTCTATTCTCTTTGGTTCCGAAATGTTTTAAAAATAAACCACCATATTAAGATTTTAAAAGTTAATTGTAAAACCCTCTTGAGAAGGCAAGTACAGCGTGAGAACAAAGAAATGCCAACGTTTCTTAAAGAAATTTTAACAAAAGATTAAACTTTCCTTTGATTTTTAATTTCTAAATGAATATAAATTTATCATATTTTATTTATTTTCATAAAGCTCATCTGCTTGCTTATAACTATAATATCATTGAAAGAATTCAAAGCTTAACATATGCCAACAATAAAAAGAACTCCATTTTTTACCCAACCATATACTAGAAATAGCCTTGGTGAGAATTCTAGATTGAAAACCTGAAAACTAAGAAACAGGGAGACATCATCAAAGCAACAATTCAGTTTCTCATGTTTATTGGACAATATGTCGTCTTCTTGATCCAGGGTTATAAAGTTCTTACTGTATCAACATATAGGTTTTCTTATGGAAAATTATAAATAATCAATATTATTTGATCTTACAGAATTCATTGTTTGAAATATCTGATCATTTAAGGATTATAAATTAGAGTTTGTGGCAAAGGCTCAATTCTATTATATTATTATAAATAATTAAATAAATATTATTTTTAAAAGAAACGTTATAACTTGCCCCCCCCCTGTCCCCTTAGAAAAAATGATTTCAGGGTTGATAAAATAAGAAGTTGAGAGTTGAGACCCGCAAACTTGAAAAATGATTTTAAAATTAAAAGTTATAAATATATTCCTTTAATTATTTACCTGATATTCAAATGTGTGAAGTTATCCATATCAGCCTGAGACTTTAAAATAAAAATATTTGAATTAGAAAATTCTTTTCAATGTGTGTAAAGTAAAAATCGTTGCATGTTTATTTGTTTGTTTGATCATAGCTCTTGAATTCCTTTATGTATAAGAATTCAGTTTTTGTCACAAACTCTGATTTTGTTATCCCTTTATCTTTGCATTTCAATGTCGGAGACCTTAGATATTTCAAACTATGAATTATTTTAGATCAAATAATGATAGTTTGAAATATCATAGGTTAACACCATCAGGTTGCAAATATATAGCGATTTGAAAATCAGAATTTGTGGCTAAAACTCAGTTCCTATATCCAGTAACATATTAAACAAACAAAAGTTTTTAATTCCAATGTATTTAGAGCGGTTCGCGTTTCTTTAGGTTTTAGATGTAACTTTTATGGAAGCATTTCTTCATTGTTCATTATAAAAAAGTGACAATGCTAGATTAAGCAGTTTTTTACATTTTTTTTGTGGATTTCTAAAATGTTGAAAAACCACCTCAAACTTGACGAAGGATAAGTTTAAACTAATGGAGCATTACTTGTACGACTTCATGACCTCAGAGTTCCTCTAGTTGGAGTTTACGCACAAGTATGAAAACAGTAAAGAAATTGAGTTTTTGCCAAAAATTCAAATCTTCTAATCTCTATATGTTTGCAATAATATGTTTTAGACCTTTGATATTTCAAACTATGAATTCTGTTAGATAAAATAGTCTAAGTTTGAAATATCAAAGGTTTACACCATCAGGTTGCAAATATATAGGAATTAGAAAATTTTAGTTTGTAGCAAAAAGTCAATTTCTTTGTACGGTTGCATAGAAGAATTTCAAACATTTTTGCTCGTCAATACGTGGAGTTTTAATTGCAATTTTCTTTAGTTTGACGTGGTCGATTTGTAGTAATCTATTATTGTCTTTGTTTTTATTTGTAAGATCGATCATAGCTCCTGAACTACTGTAAAGTAAAGTAAAAAATTATTTATTTATGAAATATAACAAAAACATTCAAAATAAAGTGTTTCAGGAGAAAATATTTAAAAACCTCTAAAAGTAGAGGTTGTGAGAATATTTCCCCACAATTCTAAAAAAATATAAAAATATAAATAAAAAGAAAAGGAAAGGATAAGGGGAAAGTTACATATTTATTGTTTACACTATATTTTATAGAAATTAGTGGTGGATTGTTAGTATTTTTCGACGATGAACTATAAACTTTTAGAAATAAAAATAATAGATTTATTTGTAATGTTTAAAAAAAAAGTAAAAAAGCTTTAAGGAGTGTGAAAGAGAGGTTCTATGAAAAACGGGCATTTTTAAGCATATTTATACTGGACCAATTTGCCTCAAATTTTTAGATTTTACCTTTTCGGCTTTTAGATTTGAAGAGAAACCAGGGATTTCATTTTTCGCATCTTTCTCTATTCATATTTGGTTATTCCTTTCGTTCTTTTTGGAACTTTTTGATATCTTCTGCAAAATATTCAGAAACTTTTGATAAAAAAACCTTCATTTTGAGACTTTTGATTCCAATATTTTGATCAGAATTGTCTACTGTATCAAATTGTCATTTGTCCAAAATTAATCATGATAGTTTAGCCCTACATACAATCCAATCTAAATGATAATTTGCTCTTAGCTCATATATAATAAATGTATATACAAGGTGTCCCATCATATTATATTAGATATATAATAAATGTATATACAGGGTGTCCCATATTATATTAGATCTTCTAAATTAAAATTTCTGGGACTTTAAGAAGAATAAATTTATCTTGAAAAATTGAAAAATAATATAAAAATTTTCTTGCAAATTTTTTTGAATATTATATGTTTATTTTGGCGTTAACCCTATTCCCGCTGGGGGGGGGGTCAATTTGACCCCCCCCTGTAGTTTTTTTTACATAACTCAAAAAGTATTGGTCTGAGGCTGTTGAAATTTTCTGACTTTTCTTACATACCCAAAGCCCTCCCTTTAGGCCTAAAACCGGGCTTTAATACTAACTGCCTGAGTCCTCAGGCACACTGCCTGAATGACTGCTTTTGCCTGTAGCAAACTAAATCTTTGTTTTGACCCACTTTCACTTGTCAGATTTTGATAAAATTTAGCTTTTTGGAAAGCCTATGACATAAGGAAACGGATTGCACAAGTTTTGCGAAAAAAAATTGCAAATTTTTTGCAAACAACCTGTCAAAGGAAATTTGCACATTTTTAGTTTTTCTTGATTAAAAATCAGGTTATTTAAAATTTTGCAAATATTTTTGCATATTTGAAATGGCATGATAAGGGCTTTTCAAAAATGTATAATTTGTCATTTTTTGGACAAATTTTTTTTGCAAACATTTTTACTATAAAACTGGATTTTGCAATAAAAAATTAAATTTTCGCAAATTTGCAAATTTTTTTGCAGATTCTAAAAGTAGAGCACAAGAGCTTTCTAATGATGTATCATTTGTCATATTTGGACATAAAACATGGGATTTAGAGGGGGGGGTCAAATTGACCCCCCCCCCCAGCGTATCCTGGTTTTCAAGTACCCCAGCGGGGATAGGGTTAAAGCTTGGAGATAATCTTATATGATATGATATGTGTCCGTTCTAGGTCGCCTGGACCAGATTGGCTGAATATTTTGATGTCTGTACCCTGGGGTTGACATAGGCTTAAAAAAATGCCATGTGCACTTTAGCTAAAATGTTAATTTAATACAAAGCACGGAAGTAACTAGGACTATGAATAATTATAAAAACTCCAGTAAGTCTGTTAAAGATCAAAGATGCTACAAATTTACATCATTTTTTAATAAATTTTGTATAAAAAATTACTTATTTAATGCGTTTTAAATTTTTAAATATTAGACCTTGAGGGGCAAATCTTTCCATGAAAAAGGACGTTAACGTCCTTTTTCATGGAAAGATTTTCTGTACACGTCCTTTTTCATGGACGTTAACGTCCTTTTTCATGGACGTTAACGTCCTTATTCATGGAAAGATTTTACACTGTACATTATAAAAAAGATCCAGTTTACTCTTTTCATTGGTGGATTTTAAAAATGTTTAATATCATTTATATGCTAATTTTTCATCTAATGTTGGCCTTGGAAACATCCTTATAGTATCTAACATTCGGGATTGGGAGAGACATCTTTCTAATAGCGATGGAAAAAATATCAATTTTGGTTCGGTTAGATTTTCGGAACATCTTATATTTTAATCATCGTTTATATTTTAATCATCGTTTATATTTTAATCATCGTTTATATTTAAAGTTGCATTGTTCAAAGTTAATTATCTAAAAACAGTAAATCCCTGTACATTGAGTTTGCTTTTACGGAGGATAGTTTACAACTGAGTAAACCTCTCTTCTCCTCCGTATATTTCTAACTCCTGTATCTTCAAGGAATCCCGAGGAAAGAACCTCCGAACTATCTATTGTCGACGGCATGGTGAATCCAATATCTTAGATAACCCTAGATAAAGAAATATGCTCTGTGTCAAAAATTGTTTTGAAACTTTGAAATTCACAAAAATTGCTGGTGGCAAGCAAAAGAATATATAATAAATTACAACAATTCACTTTTAAGTATCGTCTTTTAAGAAGAAAATGCGCGAATTTTTTCACAAAAACTTTGCAGTGCGGGTGATTATTTTATTCATCGATTTCTCCTCACGAAATGTTACTTTGAATCGGTGATTAAAGATTTATACCAGTTCAGCGAAATCTCTCCAATTCATTAAATTTCGCCTCAGACAGCTTTAAAGTTGTCACATATATTGGATTCCACTATTTTTTACCACATCAATTTCACCAGAATCAGATGATTCATTTGGCGTACCGTCCCGTCTTGCCTTATATGGTCTGTATATGTACTTTATAGCATGCTCTTGCTGGATTTGAGTCGGCCCTTTACTGTACTGGAGTTTACAGTGACTCAGTTGTCTCATGCTTTATACGGCGCACTGTATCATACTTGTTTGCTTAAAGTATTATAACTGAAGGAATGANAATTTAGACACAATTTGAATAATAAAAGAATGTCGAGGCCCTTGAAGTTTTACTATACATTGAGAACCCTGGCAACTTTGGAAAAGAAAGAAGATTGTTAGAATCAAGTTTTGGTTTCAATAGTTCTATGATTTTTAAGCTGCTGGTAAATTATTTGCTTTACAACGACACTAACTATGCATGGTACAGCTTTTTTGCAGTTGTATTGGACTCAATGCTTTTTCACAGTTGTTTTGGTCTCATATTGTATTATTTAGAGTATGATCAGAAACGAAATCCTCTCACCCATTTAACTGAATCTGAGCAGAGTAGATTACCATCATTATCCATGAATCCTGGGATTCCTCGATATTATAGACTTGGAAAGAACTCAATAGTAAAAAAGTCCAGATTGAGTGAAATAACAAGGCATGGTTGCACTTAAACTATATTTACATAATAACGATACAAACGATTAGTGTTGGACCATCTAAAGTTGCTCTAAAACACATGACATTTGCCTGAGGCAAAAATATTTCAATTCCATTCTGATCAGATACTTTGTGAGAACTGCCTAGGTCTTGGGGCATAACATGGCCGATGGCCATGCTTTCTTCCCTAGCTAGACAAATATCAATCCTTCCCTAGCTCTGCCCTTTAAACCGTACCAACTTGATATATACGAGATAAGAAAGGGTTCAATACCCTTGCAGGTCTAGCGTGTGCAGTACTATATACAAATGGAAAACCCTTGGTTGGGTTCACAATATCATCAAGAGATGTATCTCCCCTGGTTTCTGAAACTGGACCAATTGCTCTTGTACCAGCCCGTCTAAACTACCCATACAGATGCAGAGGAGAACAAGGATATACAGAATACAGAGGAGAACTAGGATAACCAGGATACAGTGGAGAACTAGGATACCAGATGCTGCCCCATCCTGATATTTGAGATGCTGCTTTTTACAAACAGCTCTTCACATATCTCGAGCAGCTAGAAGATTCAGTCAGACCTAGGACTCCAGGAGCAGAAGCTAAACCTGATATTGGAGATGATGCTCTTTACAGACAGCTCTTCACATATCTGTTGTAGAAATAGCTACGGGACACATAGGAGTACTAGGAATCCTAGGACACATAGGAGAACTAGGACTTCCAGGACACAAAGGATAACTAGGATATCCAGGACACACAGGAGAATTAGGTCCTCCAGGACATATAGAAGAACTAGAATATCCAGGGCAAAGATCAGCCAGTCTGACTATAGACCAAGATTCTCCAGCTGGTTTTATGATATTATTCATTGAAACTTCGTTTTAATTAAATACTTAACATGATTAGCTTAAATCATGCAACATACTTAAATTACACTAAAAATATGGGGAAAGATAGATTTAATCTTTAATCCTGTAAATATGTACCTTAAACTTTAACTGTTCGACAAATATGTAAATAAGATGGTCTTAATCATGTGATATCAATAACGTTGTAGGAATTGAATTAACCTAAGCTATTGAATAAAGTTAGTTGATTGAGACTTGGCTTTTGATTACATTTTCAGAAGCATAGTAAGCTTGGAACTAAGCTTTGGTTCTCGTTGAAACAAACGTGCGGAGATCTCTGCTAGTTGATTTAGCATTAAATTGAATATAGCTTGAAAGATAGCTTGGGTTCTCGTCTAAACATAGGAGCATAGATCTTGCATTGATAATTGGCCATTGAATCCAATATAGCTTGAAAGATAGCTTGGGTTTTCATTGAAAAATACAAGCAGAGATCTTTGCTAGTTGATTTAGAATCAAATTAAATACAACTTGAAAGATAGCTTAGGTCCTCATTGAATTATACGAGTTGAGTGTGTGTCCTTTAAAACCGGAGAGTTAAGCCTAGTTGAGATATTGCCTGTGTGGCATTTAGAATCAGAGTATTAGTCCTGGTTGATCTTGGTAATGAGTAGACCTGGATAGATATGTCTCGAGCAAAGTTTGTATGGAGTAGGTATTTGCTACAGAGCTACTGGAGACTTGGAGCAGCCAGAGTTTTTGTGCAGAACTATATAACACAGACAGTACATTAGAGGCTGCTCTATACTCTCCAGATGATCTTTAGTATGGAGACGCCGCTAATTGTAGAGCAGTTCTTCGCAGACCTGTTGTGGAATCAGCAGCAGAGCCAGAGGATTCTGAGTACGGAGACACCGCTCATTGTAGAACAGCTTTTCACAGACCTGTTGCAAGTCTAGTAAAAGAAGCAGCTGAGAACGCAGTAGGAACATCTCAGATTTTAAGAACAGCTAATGTAGCAGAGGCTCAAGTAGCAGCTCCGGTAGTAAAGGTAGCAGCTAGGATTACAGTAGAAGCATCTCATGAACCATAGCAGCTGAACAAGATAATTGAGGTTGAAGAAGCTGCTCAGACAGACACTGAACTGGAGCAGCTGAACTACGGTTTTCTGGATATTATATAGAGCTGATTAAACAGGAGT